TTTTTTTTTTTGAGCTTTTACCGGAAAACACAACGATTAATTCGGAAGTCTACTGTTATCAGCTGGACAAACTGGATGATGCACTTCAACAGAAAAGGTCAGAACTAATCAACAGGAAAGGTGTAGTGTTTCACCAAGACAACGCGAGACCTCACACATGTTTGGTCACTCGCCAAAAGCTTTTACAGCTTGAATGGGATACAATGCTACACCCACCATATTTTCCAGACCTGGCACCATCGGATTATTATTTGTTCCGGTCACTCCAAAATTGTTTAGACGGTAAAACCTTCACCTCAAATGAGGTGGTCAAAAACCTCCTCGATCAGTTTTTTGCCAGCAAAGAGCAAAAATTTTATGAGCGTGGAATTATGCTACTACCAGAAAGATGGCAAAAGGTGTTGGACCAGAACGGAATACGAAAACTGTCTTTCATTTCCACAAAAAAAAACGAAATGTCTTTCCGAACAACCCTATCGTAATAAAATGAGTTAGGTAGGAGCTGAAATCTAACTCAATCTTAAGAAAATAATTTAAACATACTGACGTACAAAAGCCGACTCCATTACTTTGCATGTAAAGACAAATTTAAACTGAAAACTAAAAAGTTAAATTATTCATATTTTTAAATTAGAAAAGTATTGAGGGAAATACTTTTATAATCATTTGGTAATTCCAGAATTAAATTTGGATTTTCTTTGTTGACTAATTTTCACAAGAAAAATAAATATATATTTTTTTTCTTTTAACCAGTTTCATTGATAAAACTATGATTATTGTGCATCATAAAAGAAAGCAAAACTGTCTATACATTTTATTATATTTTATGTACTTATTGTAACTTTTCATGTTGAACAAAATATTGTCACTGTTGTCACATTGTTTCGATTTAACTTAATATTTAATAAAATGATGGGAGCCTTCTGACACAGAAAATTCAAAATGACATAAAACTACTCAAATTTCGTCTATATAAAATTTTGAGGTTAGAGACAATATATAAACCCTCTTGAGCTAAGTCGATTTGTGTCGTAATACACACTTGTTGGAGAGCACCTGCACTTAGATAAATGTCGACTTTTGCCGACATTCTTTCTTGCTGGAGAGCTCCCAATAACTAGGTCAAACAGGGAAGCGACAGTCTACGAGGACGGAACGACGTTGAGGGTAAGTCGAAGTGATCCAATATGAAAGCAGTCACTTCGAAGGGTAACTGCTGTGCTTCAATTTAGCATGTCCAGCAGCATCAAAAATTTTAAAAAGTTTTGGATGTTCCATTCCCATCAGCTACCAATACTGGTGGACGGGCAGTAGAGGGGGAAGGAACTCTTCAGCCTCTTTTTAGGAATAGTGAGAATGGGTGAGTTGTGGTTGGACTGAGATAGATGAGACGGACGAAAAGAAATCAGAAGAAAAGCAGAAACTTTCTGTGGAATATTACTACCCCAGCATTTGCCTGAATAATCCAAGGAGAACAGAAAAGGAGTCAGGGAGACGAACCCAGAATCTGACGAACAATTGCTTCTACTGTTCGCTTTGAATCAAGCAAAACGAAAAATACGTCGAATGCATGAAATAAACAAAGGAGGAGCAGGATTCCACAAGTGTCACCAATTATGCAGTGAATTCAGTTTATCGGAAAACCGTTCCTTTACATACTACTGAATGTTTCAAGAACAATTTGATAAATTACTATTTTATCGTATTATCCTTAATTTTCTGGCCTCATCAACCATTTCAGTTCGCATAAACTTTGTAGAAAATCACAAGATCGATCCCTGTTTGGCCGAGCCTTAACCTAATTTAAGAAAAAAAAAACGCAGTTATAACTATGCTAAAATCATCTGAGAAAATGTGTAAAACTGAAAAATTATCGGGTTGTACTGAAAATAGGTATATATAGAAGCTTTGGAAGGTGAAATCGGTGGAATCAGGATTAAAAATAGATTATTTAAAATTGCCACTATATGACGAACATAGTTAAAAACTGATTAGGAAAACGCCTGTAGCAAACACGACAAGCTATTAAGATCAAACTAATTCAATGTAATATATTAATATTTTCTTCAATTTAATACACCTAAATAATAAAACGTTTTTTTAAAAAAGCTTTTATGCACATAAATAATATTATCTTACAGAGAATGTTCGCCTTATGTGAAAAAAGTAATCCCAGTTAGTCCCACTCTGTATCTAAATACTAGTTCTCAAAATTTATTATATTATTATTATAAGGTCGTAGGTCCTAAGACTGGTTGGACACGTTCCTCCACTCTTTCCTATCCTAAACTAAACTTCGCATTTCCCTAAAACTAGAACAACCCACATCCTCAACTATTTGCGAACAGTAATCTAACCTTGTAACTCCTGCTTCTGCCTCTAATATGTCTCTGACTAGACCTTTATCCCTGAAAAGATGTCGTACCAACCTCTCTCGCCTATTTTTTATTGACTTCCATAGAGTCCTCTGTTCTCCTATTCTTTCTAATACCTCTTCATTTCTAACCTTTTCTACCCACGTTATCATCATCATCCGCCTATAACACCACATTTCGAACGCTTCTAACCTTTTCTTTTCCGCCGCGCCCACTGTCCATGTTTCGCACCCATACAACGCCGCGCTCCAAACATACACCTTTAACAACCTTTTTCGAATTTCTAAAGTAACCGTTCGCGAGCATAGAAGTGACTTCTTTTCATTAAAGGCGACACGACCCTGCGCTATCCTCTGCTTTATATCCCTACTACTCCTTCCGTTCTAACTTATCTGACTTCCTAGATATCTAAAATCAGCCACTTCTTCTAATTTTTCATCTCCTATCTTTGTATTCGCTCTTTCCCTACTTTTTCTTCCCTTGCATACCAGTATTTTAGTTTTACTTTTATTTATTTTCAGTACCGCTTCCATTTTATTTAAAGCTATCTCTAGGTTCTCCATGCTAGATGCTAATACTGTTATATATATTACATAAATGTTTATTAATTATTAAAATGATATAAGTAAATCTAAACCGTATCTGAGAACTTTTAGTATGTAAAACTGCAAAGTTAATAAAGTATCGCATGCTTAAATTTCCTTAGAATCAAACTAATCTAGAAGTAATCAGGTTTTCATCCTTTTTAAAAGCATCCCAGTATTTTGCAGTGCCGAAGTATTGTCTTCGTCGAGAATGGAGTATTTCAGTTTAACTCGAAAAACTTTTAATGAGCTTCCATTTTAAAAGAACAAGCTCTCTTAACGAAGTCTTTCCTAATGAACCTCTGCAGAAAATTAATCAGTCGTGGCTGCAGAAACTGATTTTTTAATTACTCGGTAAGGGACAAAAATGAAATATTGTAAGTAAACTCGCGAAAATTGATAGTTATTACTGTATCAACATTTTAATTTCTATCTTTATACTGACATGTAATTATGATGACATGAACTATGATTCTTGGTTGGATTTTTACTTTAAATTCGGTATCTGTGTGTTTATAAAATTCGTGCATACCCTTTTACAAAAATCCATTTGCCATATTGCATCCGACATTTTTCAAAATTAATTTTTTAAATCCTTAATTCTACATCTACATCCTGTGGTTCATTTTCCACTGTGTATTCTAATTGATAACCTATTCTAATAGTTAAGCGTAAATTGCAATTAACCCTCCCTAGACAAAAATTTTCAGTCTCTCTCCAGTCTCTCAGAGTCTCTGAGAGCGTCTCTCACAGTCTTTCACAGTCTCTCAGTTATTGCCTAGGCGTTTTTATGGATCTCTCACAGTCTCTGTATGAGAGACTCGAACGATAAAATTGTTAATTCAGAGATTCGAGTCTCTCACAGAGAGACTGAATGAATAAAACTGAAAAATTGAGAGACTCGAGTCTCTC